AACTCTTGAATTTATAGGCTTAAAATTGTATTTTAATCCTGGAACTTATTTTGTTTTTGTTTTAAAATCATCAAAAAGTTTTTAAGATGATGCCGTCTGTATTAACATCGTTGGTAAAGTAGAACAATACTACTATGAGGGCTAATAATCTTCCGCTCACTAGATGTCACTAGTTGACAATTGAGAAGTTAGTTTGAAATAAATATTTATAGTTTAGTTTATAGTATGTACTAGAGTCTAGAGTACTATATTAGTATACAAAAAACAATGCCTGAGTGGTTTTTTCTTTAATTTTTTGCACATTTTTAACTTTTTTTTCATTCCTGTACTACTGTTATGAATATCTTTGGTTTGGTTTATTTATTTTACCTAAATCTAATTATTATAAAATTATAACAAATAGTACAGAAAGAAACATTAACCTTTTATTTTTCAAACAAATTAGCTTCCCTGCTATTAAATCTGTGACATAAAAATGTATAGTAACGCCGCGCCGTCCTGGTGGCAGAAAAAGTCGTGGATGCCCTCACCTCACTGTATTACCTATGGCTGCAATCGCAAAATGAATGGGTATGCACGAACGCATAATCCTCCGGTCACTAGATGTCGCTCGTTGAGACTGTGGTGTAGTTTTTTGTTACATATTTCATCTATTGTTTTATATAAAAGTTTTATCTGTTTCTAGAGTATTACGCTATATACAAAACAATGCCTCGGTGGTTTGATCTTTAATTTTTAGCACATTTAAGACGTTTAAATAAAACTAATTTTACGGATTTTATCGCGTATATTAACTTATTTTATATTCCCGACGTTTCGAGCACTTTCCAGCACCCATGCTCACGGAGGAGACTGAGGTGTATGACGTCCCAATGTCACTGACAAGATTGGCTACATCATGAAGCGTGCTTCCATTAAAACATACTTCAAGCCGCCGAAGAAGAATAGTCAGTTTTTACCATCAGTCAAGTGTAATGTTCCTCTGCACGATGCAGGAGTGTACAAGCTTGATTGTGAATGTGGTCTCTCTTATATATGAAAAACTAAAAGATCTATAAAAACTCGCGTTAAAGAACACATAGCTGATGTGAATAATCGACGCTCCGGGAAGTCTGCAGTCTGTGAACACGTACAGGATCGCCCCCGTCACTACATTAGATTTGATAGACCACAAACCCTTGCTAAAGAACACCGATTCCTCCCAAGGATGATTCGCGAGGCTATTGAAATCAAAAAACATCCTAATTTCAATAGAGAAGATAGCTGGGTGCTACCATCTGCTTGGGATCCCATAATTAATAAAATTAAATCCCAACCCAAGCATACAACTGTAAGACTTCAAGATACTGGAAGTTCATACTGCGTAGATCGGAACAAAAATTAATAATTTTTAATCTGGAGGTAGCGTGGTTAACTATGACATTGACCGTGACCATGGGTGCTGGAAAGTGCTCGAAACGTCGGGAATATAAAATAAGTTAATATACTCGATAAAATCCGTAAAATTAGTTTTATTTAAATGTGTAGTATTCGCGTAAACATAAGAAATCATTACATTTTAAGACGTTTCGCAATTTTTCATATTTTTGTTATATCCATAGTTTGTTTTATTCATTTCTAATCTAATTAATATAAATTATAACTAATAGTACAAAAAGAAACAATAACCTTTACATTTTTCGTACAAATTAACTTCCCTGCTATGAAATCTGTCAAATATTTCACCTCATTCCAAAGTGGATCTGCCCTTGTGGCAGAAAAATCGTGGATGCCCTAATAATAACCTTTCTGAATTTCATTCATAATCGATATCAGATGTGGGTGTCTAAGGCCTGAACATTAATTTACCAATAAGTAAACTGCATATGCTCGTATATCTACCCTAGGTGAAATTGTCAACACAAGCACTGACTCATAATAAAAAAATGCCATGCTATGCAATGCTAGATGTATCTCATCTTTGACATCATAAAAAAATTGAGGTGAAATAATTTTCGGTACTCATGAGCTGATTCCTCCTGGACTAACATCTGGAGTTCTCCCTATCATTTTCCACAGTCGCATTTTACGCCACTCGCAGGGTGAAGGCGAAGGTGAGGTCAAAGAGAATATAATCACTACGTTTAGGTGAGGTGACAAAAAGATATTATAATCAACTACATTGTTGTAAGTGTGTCATAAATGCTACAATCAAACACTTGGCGAGTTTAGTTACAATTGAAATTAGTTTATTCTCGAATTTAATACTTGTATAATATGGTAGAATTATTATACAAGGATTAAATTCGAGAATGCCAGCAAAACTTGCAAGTATATTTTAAAGAACTAGTGAGCCCTTTTATTTATTTTTATAGCATTAATCTATATGATGATACGTTAGGTACTTAATAAAAGACTTCTTATTCCGCTACTTGATCTGCTCGACCGAGGAAGGACCACGCTCTCACAGAATACCAGGGTAAAATAGCAGCTCAACGCTGCTGTGTTTAGTGTGGCATGTGTTGAGAATAGGAGACACTTTTTAATAAAAATGAGGCATTCCATCTCTATGTCTATTGGACACAGCATCCACTTAAAGTCAGGTGCATTGTGTGCTCGTTTGTCACCCTTATTCTATAAAAAGCTTCTGTGTTATTGATTGGTCATAATGCTCACCCCATAAAAGGTAGATAGACGAAATAAAATTTGATAAAAGGCTTTCGTAAAAATTATTTATAAAGTTCTTTTAATTCTTTTATTTAAAACAACTTTTACTTGTTTTATTTAAAACGTTTATTTAAAACAAGTACAGAAATACTTTACGCATTTATTTACAAAAATATTCTAATTACAACTAAATTTACATTTACGTTAAAATTGAACATCTATAATTTGAAAAATATTTAATTTCCCTAATTTAACACTAGTTACCTACACTAATCTTTATAAAATACAAAAGAATTTACTTAAGGCCACGACTGATACAACATTAACACTATAACAACTTTACACACATACTTATCTCTAAATATTTATAATTTACTTATTAAATTTACAATAATAGGTATAGTTGGAGCTAGAAAAGTACATATAAATAATCATGTTGTAAGTTATAATCAAAATAACATAATAACACATCGCAATCTTTCTCAGCTTCCTGATCAGACAGATCCATATATGTAAATCGAGTTTCACATTCTATTCGAATTTTTTGCTTACTTGGTTATCAATGAGTAATAAATTTCAAACGTATTTCAAAAATTCCGTGTATATACATACAACTTCTTTCTTATATAAACTAAAACATTTTTTATTTTATATACAGATTGATAGATACAGTTAATTTACTAATCAAACTTTACCATCGCTAAACTTGACTTTGGTTATGAATATTTTCCTACAGCACCTAGAACCTAAAACTTCCAACAGTAAATTTTAATTTTTTCAGGTGTGGTCAGATGATTTAATTTTAGCTAATTTTCTCGATTTTATTTTCTATTTTGATTGTTATTTCACATATAAAAAAATATCACTGATTTGTTTTCTCAGGTTAAAATTTCTGTTTAATGTTGAATTTTCTCAATAGAGTGTTAGAGTTTGAAAAAAATAATTTATTTTCATTTCCTCTTTTATATTATATATTTTGTTGTTATGTAGTGTAAGACAGGGTGACGTCATATCCCCGAAACTCTTCACCGCTGCATTGGAAGACGTTTTCAAGCTTCTGGACTGGAAAGGATACGGTATCAACATCAATGGCGAGTACATCACTCACCTTCGATTTGCCGACGATATAGTCCTTATGGCAGAATCGCTGGAGGACCTAAGCACTATGCTCAATGACCTCAATAGTGTTTCCCAACGGATAGGTCTTAAGATGAACATGGACAAAACAAAGATCATGCTTAATGTCCATGTCACACCTATGCCGGTAGTTGTTGGGAGCACTAAGCTCGAAGTTGTTGACGAGTATGTTTACCTGGGACAAATAGTCCGACTAGGTAAGTCCAACTTCGACCGAGAGGTCAATAGACGGATTCAACTCGGCTGGGCAGCGTTCGGGAAGCTACGACACATCTCGTCAGACATACCTCAAAACCTTAAAACGAAATTGTACAACCAGTGCGTGTTGCCAGTGATGACTTACGGAACTGAGACGTGGTCCTTCACTGCTGGCCGTATGAGGAAGCTCAAGGTCGCTCAGCGAGCTATGGAGAGGGCTATGCTCGGAGTTTCTCTGCGTGATAAACTTAGGAATGAGGATATCCGCAGTAGAACTAGAGTGACCGACATAGCCCAACGGATTAGTAAGCTGAAGTGGCAGTGGGCCGGCCATATAGCTCGAAGAACCGACAACCGATGGGGAAGAAAGGTTCTCGAGTGGCAGCCTCGTACCGGTAGGCGAAGTGTAGGGCGTCCCCCCACGAGATGGAGTGACGACCTGGTAAGACATGCAGGAAGTCGATGGATGCAGGTGGCTCAGGACCGTGCTTTGTGGCATTCTTTGGGGGAGGCCTATGTTCAGCAATGGACTTGTGAAGGGCTGTAATGATGATGATGATGATGATGTAGTGTTAGTTAACTTAAATAAAGACTAGGTATTATATACAGACATCAATACATTAAAGGAGTATAATCTTTTAATAAAATACTATGTCACACTTTTAAGATTAAATACAATTTTACTGAAATTAAACCATACTACACATTATAAATTAAATCATTAACGTAAAAAAATACATATCACTCAAAATGTCTGATTTTGTGTTAATATTAAAATTTAAAACAATTAAAAATAATTTAAGCCTTCCTTTTTATTTTATACCTTTCGATCATACTCTAATTGACTAGTAAATAAGATGTTGATAATAAATGTCATTGTAATATTTCCTTATTCATCTCGTAACCCCCGAATTCAACTTTACTAGTGATAAGTACACTTGTACTTCTTCTAAAAAATGTTTGCAGTTTTTCATCAAAACAGACTTATATTTTTTTCCTGTACAATTAACATAATTAGTTCAAGGAGGTGCAGCAGCTATGTTGTTTGGAACTATCTCTGACTCTTCATCAGCTGTATCAGCCTCACTTTCTTTGGTTATGGGTTCTTCAGGCTCATCTCGCATTAAAGTTCTGTACTTTTTAGCGATGATTTCCCAGTCAACTACATTCTCAATGCGCGTCGTGTTACTAATGCTGAGTTGAGAACCCAATGGACTTAAATGCACCACAGACAGACGGGTAGAATCTGAAATACAGTCTCATAATATGACACGTGTATACAGTATTATTTTCCACAGAGTAGCCAAATTTTAAACTTATGTTCAAATATACAAGTAAGTATTGAAAATACTAGTAAATAAGGCTACTACTTTTATTTGAAACTAGCTGTTCCCCGCGACTTCGCTCGCGGGTTTTTATGTTTTTGCGGGGAACCCTAATTCTTTTTCTAAAATAGAAGTCTTAGTTACTTCTTATGAAATTAGCTATCTGCCAGTGAAAGTCCCGTCAAAATCGGTCCAGCCGTTTCGGAGATTAGCCGGAACAAACAGACAGACAGACAAAAATTTTAAAAATTGTATTTTAGTTATAGGTACCGTATTTACTTCCATATGAATTTAGTGAAAAGCTGTAATTTTGACATTACAAACAGCCACTTCAATTTTATTTATTTGTATAGATTATACCAAACTGAATGTGATTTATGGGCAACAACTACGCGTACGCGCGCTCCTCTGTGTGCAATTCAATTCACGTATTTGCCGACCGATCGATTTTTGAGAATGTGCGTTAAAAAGTTCAAAGTTATAGCCTATATAGGTCCCAATGCTGAGCACAGACCTCGCCTCATTTCTGAGGTTTTAGGGCAAGGAATTGTCCGCCACGCTTCCCCAATGCGTGTTGGCGAACTTCACATGTCTTCGATATTTTTAATTATTTCTCAGGCATGCAGGTTTCCTTACGATGTTTTCCTTCACCACTTCACACAAATCAGCACTTAAAATTGTATTTAACTGGTTTTTAATTGGTGCTGGCGGGGATCGAACCTGGGTTGCCCGCGTACTATAATATTTACAGCGAGCGGTAACCATATGAACTACCACGGCTCGAACCACGGCGATTATGTGCGTGCGTAGTAAAATAATGTATTACCACGCATTCTGAATTTAAAAGATAAAAAGAACAGAATGTTTATTTTTTTAATTATTTTTTCTCCATCATTTGCCTATATTACTTATAATGAACTTTCTCTTCAAATTTGGCCGGTTATTGCAAAATAATCCTGTATATAGTCGCTGTATGGTGGCAGCATAATACAAACTACCCTCATGTTATCAAGTGGGTGTCGTAAAAGAAGACTTAGAGAAATAACCTGAACACCTTATGGTCTTCCATAGATAGCGGTAAGCTTGATTATTTTTCCACCTGTTGGTAAGTGGTTATGCAGCCGAATATAGTTAGGTGTACTGGCTTAGTTGAACAAACATCTATTCTGTCTTGACTTTGTATTTATACCAGGTAAAAAATCCCGTACTAAGCACAGGATGGTGTGTCAAATGCGCAAATCTTGTGGTGCTGTGATTACCGAATCACTTTCCCAGAGTGGCGATTTCAATAAATCGTTCATTATGCCTTGTATGTACTTTGGACTGATGAGGATGAAGAAGAAAATTTGCATTATTTGACCATGAATTGATTTAAAACGAACAGAAGCTAACGAAAACTATAAAAATATGGGCTTTTATTACTCACATCATAACTTCTACAGTGGGCTATACAAAACCGAAACCGTTTAGAGGTGGCTTAACAATATCCACTACACCATAATATCGACCTGTGGGTGTCATAAGAAGTGACAGAGGGAAACTTAAGCAGGAGATTGTCAACAGCATCTTTACGATAGAATTCAAAATGATAAAAGACTGCGGTTAACAACCAAGCGTTTCAACTATTACAATCCAATATGTAGCAATCTATGGGAGAGGCCTGGATTAACTTGACAGTGTATGTGTCTCTTTTTTATAGGATAAGGATGACAAACGAGCACACAGTACACGTGATGGTAAGTGGTTGCTGTGGCCCACAGACATCTACATCTATCTTCAACTACGAATCAAAATGCAGATGCGTTGTCACCCATGAGAACTAAGATGGAATGCCTCGTTCCCAGTAAAAAGTGTCTCCGGTTCTCTACACTCACCATACGAAACACAGCAGCGTTAAGTTGCTATTTTACGCTGGTATTCTGTGAGAGCGTGATGCTTCCCCGGTCGAGCCGACCCATTCGTGTTACAACTATACTAATATATACTCATAATATAGCTGAGGCATGGCTCTACCACGTATATACGTCTACCAATAGATTGCCGTTAGCTAGCTTTAGATTGCCACTACTAATTAATGGTTTTGTGACAATTATAGAAAGTTCTATACGTAAAAATGTACAAGAAAGAAATTTACCTTTTGGTACAACCTGTCCTCTTTTTACCTTGGATAACCACTTTGCCCCTGCTTTCGATCTTGCACTCAGTTGGTCCTGCCTTTGCGTTCCAATCATATGCACCAGGCTCGTTCGTTTCTTCTTACTCAGTCGATTCTGATAACAAAAAATATGTTGGGAAACTAAAAATACTACAAAACTATTTATTAATAAGAAAAACAAAATCTACAATAGATCGCAACGGAAAAAGACTATATTTTGCTCTTTATACAAAAACAACGCCTATTTCATCGTTACCTTTCCCTTATGTTTGATATCTTCGGATTTCAAATATGCTGTAACTTGTGTTAGTAGACTTTAGGTGCGTGTATTAAAAATGTTTTCGCGCAGATTCAGGTTACATTTGGAGTGACTTGGATTTAAGTTATTTGTAAAAAAACGATAAGCAAAGTTACAGTAAAATACGTCGTATTGCACTAGTCTCTTTTCATTTCTGAAAGGGTTATAGGGTAGCCAGTCCGCCACGTAGTTCCAATGAATGTTGGCAGACTTTACATCGTGTCCTCAAAATATTTAACAGTCCCACGATATTTTTCCGTATACATGATAAGCCAGCGCTAAAACTGCAATTAATATTTTCATTGGTGCAGGTGGAGGTCGAGCGTGGGTTACAGTTTACGACGAGCACTTAGCCCTAATAGATTGTTTCAAAAATTTTACCACAATTAAAGGTCGATTTAAAACTTACCTTACATCTATGAATGAGCCACATTAGCCATGTTGTCACTAAATTAAGTGGAGATGGAGCTGTATTCGTTCTGTGCATGTTACGAATTAACTTGGATAAACCATACTTCCATTCTATATCTGATTGAGCCTGTAAATTTTTACTCACTTTATGATTTTGTAAATCAATTTATCAAATTAATTTTCCATTGTGTTTTTTTCTTTGCTTTAAGCATACTTTATTTAATAAGCACATACAAAGAAATAGCTTTATATTTTGACTTTAAGGTGTATAGAAGAAAACAGTAAAGATTATAATTTATACTGTCTATTATTTATATATTTGTCACACGTGCCTACTTATATTGCATTTTTTTATTTTATTAAAGCATTTTAATTAGAGTAATAAATCTTACATGCTAGATTAGATAGCAAAGTATAGCAGAAGCATAATTTTTAATACATTTTTATATTTAAACATTTTATATTTAATAAAGACACACTTAAATAATTTTACTTATATTATTTAGGTAGAGGAATTTTAAGTGATATTGATGATAGCAGCGCCACGTGTGAGTAGTCGTTTCTGAAAGTACCTGAATTCTTTGATATGTGTCTGACATCATAGCAATCAGGAGATTTATTAGTACCACCACTGACACCAGCATGTAAATTCCAAATACAATTTTGAATAGGTAATTTGTCCACGCTGGTTGCGTGTTGGTGTCATTTCGATGCACTCTCGTCTGTTCCGTTGTGGTTTGACCAAACACAGCGAAGAACAGTAGCTCGAAGGAAAATAGTGGATTCATCGTCACTGCGAACAAGACACAAGTTCGAAGTAACTGCTCAGTTACCTGTATGCGCTGATAAGTGTCCGACATCATCGCAATTAGGAGCGTTACGAGCACCACAACAGATATCAGCAAGTAGGCCCCGAAGACGAACTTGAAGAGGTTCTGTGTCCACAAAGCTCTCACCGTGGATATGTAGTTTAAGTCGGACAATGTAATCTGGCCGAAAAGGGCGAAGAACAATTTCTCGAAGGCTTCGATCGGTGACAAAGCCGCTAGAAGACAATACTCAAATGGACCAAATTCTCACGTTGCACAAACTCAATGCAAAAGAGAGGTAGGGGTAGCTTAATGCAGTATTCTTTGTGTGAGAGATGTGTACATATTGATAATGTCACGTGTTCATGTTTTACTAGGCATCAATTTACCCCTACTTTATGTACTAAAAATATTCTGAATTATTGCTTTGTATCATAACAGAACATCAAGGTCTTATTTAAATATGTTTCCAAAGAAAAATTTAATAAAATTTTGTTATGATACTTTGCATTAGATTATCCACAATATTTTTCAAATGTCAACTAATTTAACAACAAATGTGCACGGATGGGGTAGATTGATACGTGTGAATGTTGGTGCGGTTATGTTTCAGGGTAATTGTTCACTTGTTGTTTGGGTTTAGACTGTAACGAATTATAATGTTGTGAAAGTATATAAGAATGTAAGCCAATTTCCCGATGCATCATTCCACCCCAATCCTCTTTATAGCAACTATACATGAATGGTGTTGGCACACCATAAGTGCCACAACGACGACAACAAAAACACATCCGTAGCAAAAAGTGATACCTCAAGACACTGGTGTAACAAACGCAGGACATAAGCCAGCGACGGCATGCGCAAAATATAATTGCTCCATCAAATGCGGTGAGGTCGGCCACTCATTCCACTAAAACTATTATTGTGACAAGGAATGCATTTTCTGTGTCAGCATCGACATCTGAAATATACATCTCTCGTACAATTTCACTCAGCGTGCTATGTAAGAAAATTATGTGTCAGTATTCATTTACACAAAACTTCCTGTCATAACACGTTAGGTGAGACACACTAATTATTTGCATTAAAATTCATGATGAAAACTATGAAAATATTTTGTATATTCTATGACTTCTGCTAAGGGTGTTTGTTTGTATTGTACAGACCTATACATTCCACATTCAATATGTTGTGTTGTAACCTAACAAGTACTAACTTGAATAATAATATCAATTGACGATGATAACATTCCCGATGTAGCGGCAAACATTCAAGCCTGCAAGCGGATGGTTTTTAAATAAAACAAAACAAGCACACCGAATTGTATTGCAATCATCACATGATGGAATGATTTACTTCGTGAGCGAAAAAAAAAGAAAATATCGTTTGCCTCTATTTCTAACACGGACTTACGTCCCGTTGGTCCCTGTTTCCTCCGATATGATTCCCCAGAAAGACTATTAATCCATTGTGAATCATATGTTTGTCGTTTCATCCGTAGACTATTATCTATTTTTTAATAACAGTGATTAAACAAATGTCTATTTAAATGTGTGAGATACACTATTAGAAAAGTAAATAAGGTTATATAAAGACATTATACTACAACATCAAATACTAATAATATTATAAATACTACTAAATTCGATGTTGGAAAACAATATTGTATGTTACAAATAGTGTTTTATTATTTTATGTTATCTTTAAAGTATTGACATGTTATTCGTTGTAAGTTTTTAAAAAATTATAGAAAAACACTTACCGTCTGAAAAGACTTTTCTTCTCGCTTGTCTGGCATATTTATTATCTTCCGGTTTATTTAAATTTCTAAACGGCTGGTTGAGAGCTACGATATGCATCGAAAATCCAAAGACAAATATAGCTAATACTGCTAAGAACCTTCCCAAGTCTTTCATAAGATCACCAATTATTATAGCCCATGGTCCGAAAAGATGATGAAATGACAAAAAGTCCAAAATTTGGACACAAGCCAGAAGAAAGGAAAGGGCAAAACATTGATTTCTACAATACATTAACGTTGGCCAATACTTAGGCATAACAAATATCCACCCCACTACATGAGTCGCTACTCCAATCATTCCAAATAACAATACGGCCATTTTTATCCACCCTAGACCTGACTTATCACTAGGGTTTGTTAATTCAAAGAGCAAAAGCCCACTTAAAGAAATTAGAAGCATCCACTCGTACCATCTCGGAACTAAACTTTCCCTGAATATTGAGTTATTGATTGGTGTTATAGCCACTAATGACAATAATATCATAAGGTAAATATGAGCCGTTAAATACGACATAAACTTAATTATTGGAATCTTATTATATTTGTGGCCTAGCGGAAGAGAAAACACCACCCAAACTGGTGGACATATTATAAATGCGAAAAAAAGGAACATAATTTTGATGCCATTCCACTTGAGGCTCCCTCTCCAGAGTTCCTGAAAGAAATCGATAGCTATAAATATCACAATGGACACTTGATAGGTAGGATTACTTTAGTAGACGAAGTTACCTATTTTTTACCTGAAGATATCTTTGGACGACTGTATGTGCAATGACTTCTTTTTGCTCATTTTCTATCAATACATCTAAAAATTCGATATTTCTGTTATCCGTAGCAGTAAGTATATGACCAGCTGAATCAGCACCAGCGGCTAATGCTAATAGTTCTGTGGCCATTGCTTCACACTGTTTACCAGCTGCTATAAGATCTTTGGCACGCTCCTTTTCCTGATCGAATAGCATTAATTTGTTATTAAATGCAAAACATATGTTTAAGAAAAATATTATTTAAAATTATGTTTTACCTTAGTAGATAAATTGATATAAAGGTTTGACAACTTAGCAGCTGTGTCTACAGGTGCTGGTGATACCAAAACAAATTCTTCTATTGGAATATTGTTGTGATTTTTCGAACACACCATAAGATTATAAATAAATCTTTTATCATCCATAAGAGATTGCGTATCGTGTTCTTTATGCAAAAGATATTCAAGAACATCATTATGATTTTCAGAAGCAGCGAACCAGATTGGAGCGCAACTTAAATTGGTTTCACTTTTAGGTGAAGCTCCTGATTCGCATAGTAATTTCACTACATTTAGATGTCCAGCTTTGGCCGCACAATGTAATGGAGTCCAACCATTTTTATCCGTGGCGTTAATTTCTGCACCTTGGCCTAATAAAACTTCAACCATTTGATAATGACCATAGGTTGAAGCTATGTGTAATCCTGTTTTTCCGTGTCTATCTACACTTTGTAGTAATTCTGCAGATCGACTTAATAAGAGACCTACAATGGACATATGTCCACCAAAGCAGGCTAAATGTAACGGATTGTATCCCTGAAAATTTTAAAATGTTATACATAATATTAAAAAAGTACAAAAGAAAAAGTTTGATAAACGTAACTCACATTTTCGTTAGTAGCTGCATCTACTTGGACACCTGGAGAGTTAAGAAGTAATCTCACAACATTTTCATTTCCATTATATGCAGCGAGATGGAGAGGTGTAAGACCAGATTCGGCACCTAATACCGGGACTAAAGACATCCCTGTAGGTGGATCTGACTTTGCCGTTCCAGGAACTTGTGAAAGAAGCTCTCGGACGGTTTCTGAAATATTTTTTAATTTTTATTATTTTACTATAATAATAATAATCACAATAAGAGTATATATATATAATTTACCGGCTTGACCATAATATGCTGCTATATGAAGAGGAGTTAGCCCCAGCTTTTTGCTAGATATCCTTAAAGTATTTGTTGATCTCATGACATCTAGTACGTTTGTATGGCCATGTTCTGCTGCTAAGTGAACTGCTGTTAATCCTGCTCTATTTTCATCAGTACACGAGGCCCCAGCTCTAACAAGAACTCTCACAACATCTGCGTGACCACCCTCAGCAGCCAATTGTAAAGGAGTAGAATCATTTAATTTGTTTCGTGCAGATATAACACCAGTCCTATCAAATTTCATTAGTTCCTCGATTACTTTCACTGAACCTTGGATAGCTGCTATATGAGCGCAAGTGTTTCCATCTTTTGTAGTTGCCATAACTAAGTTTGGATGTTGCTGCAGAAACAACTGAACCACTTCAGAGTAGTTATTCTGCGCAGCAGCGTGAATTGGTTTTTGGCCCAACTCATCAGTAGCATCTATATTAGCTCCTAATTCTAGTAACAATTTACAAACTTCTATTTGTCCACTAGCAGCAGCTAAATGTAACGGTGTTTGCTTTTTTAAAGTAAGAACATCAATTAATGCATTATGATCACGTATAAGGAACTTAACTAAATGTGTATATCCATTCATGGCAGCTAAATGGAGAGCAGTTCTGCCATTTCTGGCTTTAGAGTTTATAAATGCTTTATTTGTTAGCAAAGCATCACATACTTGCAGAAAACCACGTTCTGCGGCTAGATGTAGTGCCGATCTGCCTTCAACGTCAAAAACATCTACCCTAGCGTGATTTGTAAGTAAATTATTTACAAGTTCCATATGTCCTCGATGACACGCTATTAAAAGAGGTGTCCAACCAATAGAGTTTTGTTTATTGAGTGCTTTACTGACGTCAGCAGTAGACATATCAGAAATCATTTCAGTCATGACATCATTGTTTCCAGCGATAGCGCAGAAATGAAATACTGTCTCATGGTTATGTTTGGTTACTAAAGACACATCCGCGCCATTTTCCATTAAGCATTTAACGACTTCTCTGTCCGCTGCAGGCGTTTTTACCTCTTCCTTTGTAATTTTACATGCAAAATGTAATGCACTCGCGCCATCTTCGTCAACGGAATCTATGTACGCCGTAGCAACATTCTCGCCCTTGGTTTGTTTAACGAACTCTATTAAATGCCGTACTACATCTGGCTTGCAACTTCTGCACGCCATATGAAGTGGCGTTTCGCCAGTCTGAAAAAAAATTATAGAAAGTGTATTTGTTGATTGTTGTAATAATACATACATAAACACTCACGCCTGTCACCCAGAGGGTTAGGCAGAGTCTATGGACTTCCACTTGGCACAATCCTGACACACCTCTCTCGCTCCTACACATCCATATACCTACGCATACACTTGATTGATTGACTTGATTTGGCCCATTTTCAATATATCGCCAATTCGGTCGATAAACTTTCGCCTAGGGCGTCTCTTCCCGACTCTGCCATTCACTTCTGCAACATAAATTTGCTTCATCACTCTTTCCTCATTCATTCTTTCTGCATGACCAAACCACCGAAGCATTCCTTTCTTAATCCTGGTCACAACATCATCTTGCAAACCACACTCTTCTCTTATCACGTAATTTCTCACTCGGTCATTCAGATTTATCCCTAACATAGTCCTTAATGACTGACTGTAGAAATGCGGTCATTAAGGAGTGATTGTTGTAAATGTATTTATAATCTAGAAGGCAGCACGAGTTGTTGTCTCAGGTTAGTTTGTGGTTATATGTCATTCAAGTAGTAAAAATATTTTTTTTAAGAACGAACACGTGATTGCATTAATAATTTACATACTCAGTATGAAAATAAAATGTACATAACAGAAAAGTTTTCACAGTGGTTTAAAAGTGGACAGTATTCGAATACAAAAAAGAATATAAACAGTAGTCGAGTGATCAAGTTACTACTAGTAGTAAATATTCACAACTGACTTGACACCACTTAGGTTCACACAGCTTTAGTTGTTAATTTAAATAGATTATCGCTGCCATATTTATAATATGTTATATTCTACAGATTTCAGCGAAAAATGTAAATTTTCGATTCCAAATAAAGTTATATAATACAAATTAAAACCTTTGTTTTCCTGAGAGGATCTCCTCCATCTTCCAGAAGGAGTAGCAATGTCGCCAAATTGCCGTATTTCGCTGCTACATGTACAGGGGTCATACCATCTTCAGTGGCTTTGTTTGGTCCTGCACCAGACTTGAGGAGCATAATTGCACATTTATCCCCTATAAAATAATTTTAAACAAGTTGCAGTTATAAATTGGTAGAGCAATATTTATGTAACTTAGCAAATTTCACCGTGTTGTGGCGGTATAAGAATATCAACTAATTGTCCTGTGGGTGTCGTAAAAGGCGACAGAGGGAAACCAATCAAGAGCAGGAGACAGCAGTGTCTTCCTAATAACAAACATAAAATAACAACCCCACTACTAAGCCAACTATAACAAATATGCCTCCTCCCTAATAGGCAATTTATGGGGGAGGTCTATGTTCAGAAGTAAAGTTTTGATGGGCTGTAAGCAAATTAAGCGCTTACCTTCACCGATTTATGCGGATATTAAAATTAAATAACAATATTTAACAATTAAACTTACCATCAGGTATCCTTGCCGCAATGTGCAAAGGTGTCTCTCGTTGTTTACCTCCTCTTATGTGAACATCTGCTCCATATCCCAAAAGAGTTTCCACAACTGCCGGCTTGCATGATTCTACTGCTACGTGTAGTGCTGTATAGTTGTCCTGATTAAGAAACCAAAATATGTTTTAAACGATTTTTATGTCTCAGTGACGCGGCGTAATTGAACCTTTCTGCAAAGTTATATGCTTTAGGCCGTATTAAGAAATGGTAACTGTGAATAGAATAGACAAATTTTTTATTCAATATACATTACGTGTGTAATTCTTATTGAAAGTCATTTTTTACTTTACCACTGGTTCGAAAAAAACCCTCTGTCCTGGGAAGAACCAGCAAGAAACCCAGCGGGACTTTTTTTTAAAATAAATTTTACAATATAAATGATTACAAAGTATTTACAAGATTTATTTTAGAAACTGCTTGGAAGAGACCACCTAATTCCCAGGGGTTATTATCAACCAAAATGTATTCATTTATACTATGATAACATTTTTTATACAGTTTCAGCGTAACAAAACATTTAAACTTGGTAATAAAGAGAGCCTGTACACTTTCCGTGACCTTGTTGTAGTAGCGTATACATTGGCTCAAGAATGAATTACTGACTCTGTGGAGTCGAGAAACTGGCATCACTAGCTTGTGTTTGTTCCTAGTGTTTACAGAATGTATATCACTTTTTTGACTAAACTACCTTTGTTTTTGTGAACATACATTAAATTTTCGTAAATATAATGAGAGGCCAAAGTTAATATATTCATTTCTTTAAATTTATCTCTAAGAGACTCTCAATTTTAGATTTTAAATAGCTCTAATGGCCCTCTTCTTCCGTTCTTCCTTCTGTACGTTACTATAGCTAGTGGTTACGAAGTCGGCAGTGTTTCACTCTTGTGCCTTGGAAAGCACGTAAAGCCGTTGTGGTCCTACGCGTGATCTCTCTGCGTTCGTGTCGGATTACCATCCCAATGGACTATGAGAGTGAAGGAATAGAGAGTGCACCTATGCCTGGGCACACCCAGCTCCTGCGCATACAATTAGTTTCCGTTAAGAATAATCACCGTGACAGAAATTAGGTTAGGAGGACTTGTAAATAGTGATTAATAATAATAATAATAATATATATTTTTATGTATTTATTTTATTTTATTGATATTTATGTATGTTATTTCGTTTACAATTATATATTTAAACAGCCCAACCAGATGAGAAAACTTTATGGATAACCCCAATAATAATAATACAAGACCCTAGAAAAAAAGAAAAAGAAACACACCCTACTACAAATATACGCCACAAACTGTTTTAGAAAATCCTACACACAAACTTTACTACGACCGCGCCATACTTACCGATAGGACCATTCACTATAATAGTTTAATTCACATACTTATTATGTTATGCCATGTCTCTTACATTACACCTATAATAATATTAGGCCAAAATAGTATAATTAACTTAATAAATAAAAAACCCGTAGAGCAGCGAGAGCTCAAAGAGCCGTGGTAGCACAAAGAGTCGTGGTTGCTCAGAAGCTTTTTTTTTATAGGATAGGGTGACAAACGAGCACACAGTCCACCTGATGGTAAGTGGTTGCTGTGACCCCTAGACATCTGCATGTATCCTCAATAAAGACTCAAGATGCAGATGCGTTGTCACCCGTGAGGACTAAGATGGAATGCCTCTTTGCCAGTAAAAAGGGTTTCCGGTTCTCTACACTCACCATACGAAACACAGCAGCGTTAAGCTGCTATTTTACGCTGGTTTTCTGTGAGAGCGTGGTCCTTCCCCGGTCGAGCCGACCCATTCGTGCTATAACTATACTAGTAATATAGCTGCAGCATGGCTCTACCACGTAAAGCTACGCGCTCGCTATAAATTTCACAGTACGCACTATGCAACCCAGGTTCGATCCCCGCCGGCACCAATGAAATCGCGAATTGCAATTTTAAATGCTGATTTACCACGTGCTCGGCAGTGAAAGAAAACATTGTGAGGAAACCTGCATGTCTGAGAAATAAACAAAAAAAATTGTTTCGAAGACATGTGAAGTTCGCTAACACGCACTGGGGCAGCGCGGCGGACATTTCCTTGCTCCAAAACCCTCTCAGAAATGAGAGCAGGCCTGTGTGCAGCAGTGAGGCGTAAATGGGCTGTAACTTTAAAAAAAAACCATAAATGATTAACGCACAGTACTTTAATGGCGTGCAGTAGCGGTGTGAAAAATCCACTACCCAATATTATCCTATTGGTATCATAAGAAATTAAACATAAAGAAATAAAAATAAAGGGAAATTAATTATGGCGAAACGAATCAGTAATCTGAAGTGGCAATGGGCCGGCCGTTATACATATGTAGCTCGTAGAACCGACAACCGATGGGAAAGAAAGGTTCTCAAGTGGCAGTCTCGTAAAGGTAAGCGAAGTAGGGCGGCCTCCTTTTAGATAGAGTGAAGTTATAGTAAGAGATGCAGGAAGTTGTTGTATGCATGTGACTCAGGACGGTGATTTGTGGCATTCCTTGGAGGACCCCTATGTTCAGCAGTAGACTTGGGTTGTAATGATGACGATGAATTAATGAATGAATAAAATGATGAGATCAATAACGGAAACTATTTTCTCTACATTTTGATTAAAATGATAAAACAAAAATAGCTTCTACTCTTATTAATTAATTCCTGCGTACATTTGTGGTAACATCCACACTCTCCCCTTTTTGTAGCAATGTGTTAATGATTCCTACGTGACCGTACCGCGCTGCCGTGTGTATGCTGCGTGCTCCATCCTGAAATTAAAGAAAAATATGACAGATATGGCGCACACAAAAGTTAAAGAACTATACTAACGGTGCAATAAAATAGGGAAACAGGACGCTGCCTGTTGTGCTTTGCGCTTTCTATTACACTTACGAGTCTTACGGCAGGCCTGCCGTTGCCGTTTATTAGGCCGCGGGCAGCGAGCATTTAACATCAGTATAATAATTTTGAAATTGACAAGCGAAATAACATACCACGTGATGGTGAGCGGCTACTGCAGTTCATAGACACCTCCAACTTCAAAACAACGAAGACTACCGATGCTTTGTCACCTCTGAGGACTAAACCGGAATGTCTCAGCCTACAATCATACTGGCTTTCCTTCACACCGGAATACAGCATTGCAAGAACTGCTGTTTAGCGGCAGAAATAGGTGGGAGGATGATCATACCCAGACGACTCCCAGGCAAACAAGGAGTCCTTTTTTTTTTTGCGGATGGAAAATCATTAAATGACGCCTTTCGCTCTGGGTGGAGCGGAAGGGAGTGTCAGACTTTTACTGACTAAAAAACATCCGTGTTCCTTCAGTGCCCTTACGTTCCGGAGCCGCGGTATCTCTTTCGAACAGCCCGCAGCCCCGGCAGGCGTCGGCCCTTGCGGGCCCCTTCACGCTGCTGACAGCTCTTTGAGGCGCGCGCGTGGGACAAAACGCGCCGTCGACACGGCCTGTCGTCGTTAGACGGACGGACGGCGAGCTACCCATTGCTCGCCGTCCACAGGCCCGCGCCTACGGTGGCCGGGGGCCACGACGTAGCCCCCGACGCCCGGGGCGTCTCCCGCGGCGGCCGGGAAGGAAAGCTGCTGCTCTCTCCTTCTCCCGCTCCGCCACCTCCTTCGCCAGCATCACTGCTTCGCAGAAGGTGGTGACGGCATCCCATTCCGTCTCGCTCCGGACCATGGCTTCGACCAGGGCCGGACGCGAGAGGTCGCCGCCGCCTATCGCCGCTACGAGGACACGGCGGTGCTCCGCCCAGGCAGGGTACACCTCCACGGTGTGCTCCACCGTGTCCTCCGGTCGATCCTCGCAGTGGGAGCACCCGGGCGTTTCCTCCCGCCCGATTCGGTGCAGGAACCTCCTGAACACACCGTGTCCGGTGAGGACCTGCGTCAGGCGGAAGGTGAGGATGCCGTGGCGTCTCTCAAGCCACTCCTCAAAGAGGGGTCTTATCGCCGCTATAGTGGCGTGCCCAGCACGGGGTTGCGACAGTCGCTCTCTCCATGTCGCCATGAGATCATGCCGGAAGTCTGTCCGCTGCACGACAACTTGCCGCGGCAGCGGGGTTTCCCCCCGGCATAGTGCCTCCGCGCGCCATTCGTGCAGGCGCGCGAGGACTATCGGCTCCAGATCCCACGGCGGCAATCCGGCAAGGAGGCACGCTGCCTCGCGGGAGATCGTGCGGTAGCCGCGAACCATTCTCACGGCAACCACCTTTTGGGGCGCGTTCAGGTGGTGGACGGCAAGCCGCGCCAAACCACGCGCCCACACCGGGGCCCCGTAAAGGGCCATGGACCGCACAATCCCCGCGTAGAGCCTCCGGCAGGAGGCGTTTGGCCCCCCCAGGTTCGGCAGGAGCCGCCTGAAGCCAGCCCCGGTCCGTTCCAGTTTGGGAGCCAAACGTCGGAAGTGCTCAACGAAGTTCCATCGGCTGTCGAGGACGAGTCCTAGGTACTTCAACGTCGACTCGACGCCGATGGATACCCCTCCTACCATCGCTGAGGATCCCGGTGGTGGCCTGTTCCGAGGACCATGGAAGTGCATGGTCTCGGACTTGTGCAGAGCCATCTCAGGACCCAGCTATCGCAACCCCGCGTTTCATAGTTTCCGCCGCCGCCTCGTACGACCCCCCCCCCCTGTGCCAGTACCAGCGTGTCGTCAGCGTAGCAAACTACGCTGACGCCGGTAGGGAGGTCGGCGCGCAGCACCCAGTCGTAACCGATGTTCCACAGGGGCGGCCCAGAACCGAACCTTGTGGGACACCGCACGACATCTCTCGCCGGTTCCACTCACCGTTGCGACCGGGGTAGATGACGGCCCTATCCGTCAGATAGTCCCCGACTATACGACGGAGATAGGTCGGCACCCGGTGATACCGGAGTGCCTCCCTAATGCAGCTCCAGGGCATGGAGTTGAAGGCGTTGGCGATGTCGAGAGACACCGCCAAAACAACCCCCCCCCTGGCCACTGCATCCCCCGTCGTGAGGGCTCTCACGCGCATGATGGCGTCCACCGTAGAGCGCCTCTTGCGGAAACCAAACTGGTGTTCCGCAAGATCCGGCTCCGTCCCCGCAAGGTGCTCGGCGAGGCGGTTTGCAATGACTCTTTCAAAGAGCTTGCCCACCTCGTCGAGCAGCACCACGGGCCGGTATGCGGACGGAGAGTCCGCAGGGCGCCTCGGCTTCCGAATGAGGACCAGCTTCCCCGTCTTCCAGCGAAGCGGGAATTGGCCTCTCTCCAAGCATGCGCTTAGGAGCCCCTCCATTCGGGGCCCGAGAACCTCCGAGGCCAGGACCCAGGCTTTGCCAGGCAAGCCATCGGGTCCTGGGGCGGTATTCCTGGCCTTGAGCCTACGTACCGCCACTCTCAGGTCTACCCCGGTCCCTTCCGGGATGCCGTCGTCGTCGTCCTGGTGGTCCGCTTCCGGCACCGCAGGTGGCGGAGCCATAGGCGGGGGCGGATTTTCCCCTCGCGCAGGAAACAGAGCGCTCACCACGTCCTCCACGAGCTGAGGCCGGAGACTCTGCGTCAGCGGGGGGGCCCAGGTGCGGAGTTTATCCCGCACCATCTTGTAAGGGCGCCCCCACGGATCTCTGTCGAGAGTCTCCAGCATCTCCTCACGGGCCCGATCCCGGGCCCGCATGACAGCCTCCCAGAGGGCGGTCTTCGCCGCTCTGTATCCCTCGTACAGCTCCGCCTCAATGGCTGCCGCGTTCGGTGGACGAATGCGGAGCCTGCGATGCCTGGCGTACAGGTGCCGCGCGGCGACACACGCCTCGCGCAGAGACGTCAGCTCACGCGACCACCAATACACCTGACGCCGGGCGCTTCCTGGCCGGACGCGGGGCATTGCCACGTCACATATCTCAGACATGGCCTCCTGGAACCACCCTGCCTCATCATTGACGTCGGCAGGCCTATCCGGTGATGACACCCAGGCCTGCACGATCGAGGCTTCCAGGAGGAGCTCCCGGTCCAGCTGCTTCAGCGTCCAACGCGGACCACTCGGGGCCTGTTGAACTGGCGCGCTGGAGGGCTGGGTGGAGACGTCAAACCGGATGTACCGGTGGTCGGAATAGGTCTCCACCCCCTCCATGACTCGCCAGTCAATGGCACGTGGCGACAGAGCGGGGCTAGCGAACGAAATGTCCACCACCGACTCGCCCCGCATCCGCACACACGTGGGGACAGAACCCCGATTTAGGACGACCAGGCCTGTCTCCAGAGCCCAGTCTTCCACCATCCTACCCCGCACATCTGTACGACGAGAACCCCAAGCCAAGTTCTTGGCATTGAAGTCCCCAAGGACAAGCACGGGGAGGGGATAGCTTCCGACGACGACTGGTCTCAGCTCTGCAAGAGAGTTGTGGAGCTCGGCGAGAGATCGGTTCGGGGAGAAGTACACCCCCACAATGACGAACTCCCCGGACCGTGCTGCTACGCACCCCTGACCCCTCCTGATACCTTCAAGGGTCGGGGTACCGGCGGCGGCCGAAGAAATGATGGCCACTGAGCCGTTAAGGTCCGCCACCCAGTCCTTCCTAGGCCAGACAAAATACGGCTCAGCGACCACAGCGATGTTAATCGACCACTGCGCCATGCTCTGAAGCAACAGATCCTGAGCGCAGGCGCAGTGGTTGATATTCGCCTGGAGGAAGCTTAATGGGGCCGTTATAGGCATTCCATTTCAGCTTCCTCCACGGGGCGCCCCTCTGCAGGCGTCGGTGTCGCGGCGGCGGCGGCGGCGACAGTGACAGCGGCGGCGGCGGCAGTTGCAGCTGCGGCGGTGGCCATAGAGGCGGTGGCGGCGGAGGAGGGCCCTCCCCTACCCGCGGCCTTGGCCTTGGCGGGTGGCACGCAGGCCCTGCTTCCGGCCCAGTGATCGGCTGGCTTGCCGGTCACCGCACATGCATCACAGTCCGGCGTGGCGCAGCAGGTCGCCGATATGTGTCCGGGCTGACAGCAGCGGAAGCAAAGGCCACTGCGGTCAACCTCCGAGGCGCATTTCACTGATACGTGATGCCCCACGAGACAGCGGTAGCACCTCAGAGGTCTGGGCTCCAGCAGCTTAACCTGCGCTGAGACCCAGTCCACCAGAAGCCTTCGGCCCTTCACTATGGTTTTGGCCGCCGTAACAGGGCGTATGTTGGTCCGGGCGTATGGCGCCTGACTTGACCTGGTCAGTATTGCACCCCCCGGACCTGGCGACGGCGGCCACCAACTCCTCCTCCGATACCGAGTCGTCCAGACCCATGATGCGCAGGTCTGCGCATCTGACGGGCCTGGACACTCGGGCCTCGTCCGCGTTCAGGGACGCTCTGAGCTTCGCAGCCAGAGCGTCCGCAGTCGCGCCACTGGATTCCCCGGGGATCTCCAGCATACGGGCCCCCGTCTGGGTGACTTTGAGCCGGAGGCCCCCAGTGATCCCGAGCTCCCCGAGATTCACCGCCTCTTTCGCCTTCGCGAGCAGATCGCGGTAGGTAACGCCCTTCTTTTCCGCGTCCGGCTGTAGTGTAATCACTTCAGCTGCGGTCTGCGGGCGCGGAGCCTAGCCGCGATCTTGCGCGCTCTGAACTGGCGCTGCCGCTCCTGCTCTTTGGCCTTTTTGGCTGCCTTCTTCCCCTTCTGTTTGTCCCCGACCACCTGCCAACCGGCTTCTGCCGCGGAAGGTGTAAGGAGCTGGGGGGGCGGTGGCGGCGGCGGCAGCTGGCTTGCCGCTGGCGCTGGCCCATTCGCCGCAGGCACTGGGGCTGGCGCAACCACCACCTGTGCTGCCGCCTGGCCCTTTTTCGCCTTCGCCTTGCCTCTCTTTCCCGTCGCCGGCTTAGCCGGAGCCGGTTCAGCCGGTATCGGTTTTGCCGAAGCCGGCTTTTCAGGGGGGGAGGGGCAACTGCAGCCCCACCCGAGGGCTGGCTAGACGGCCCCGGCCTGGATGCAGCAGCCGTGGCCGTCGCGTAAGAAACCGTTGCCGGCCTCGCCGACGTCTTGTAAAAGGAGTCCTACCACCTTTCTTTTTTACTTATTATAAGCCAGTGCTTGACCACAATCCCACCTGGTGGTAAGTAGTGATGTAGCCTTAGATGGTAAATGACACTTTCTTAGCGTAAAAAAGTCTATTCACTCTTGCCTTAAAGACGACCAGATTGTATTCGGAAGGAGAGACAGACGCCGGCAAATTATTATACTCCTTTGATGTACGCATTACAAAATTCGAAGCAAACCGTTATTCAAACCAAACCAAATATTGACAACAAATGGTTGAAGATCCGCCGATCGCCTGGTTGTCAGATGGTAGAAAGGAGAGGGAGGAATTAGCAAGCATTTTACTCCATCTAGTAATAATACACTTGAAGTTTATAATTCATTATACATTTTGCATGCAGAAATTTGAGTAAATTCTAGGTTACCTACGACAAGAACGTGTGAAGATCATGGTCAATGGCGAAACCCGGATTAACACGCAATAAGGTCATGCTGTGTGTATGATGGGACTGAAAGGCATCGTTTATTATGAACTTTTTCCACCGGGTAAAACCATCGATTTGGATCTCTATTGCCAACAACTAATGAGACTCAAGCAAGAAATTGAGGAAATATGGCCGGAATTGAAATTGATCAACAGAAAAGGAGTGGTCTCTCATCATGATAACACACATCTTTGGCCACTCAGTAAAAATGAGAGGGCTTGGTTGGGAAGTGTTAATGCATCTACCATATAGTACTGACCTTGCACCCTCAAGTTTTCACCTATTTCTACAGCAACGGTATTATGTCACTACCTACAAGATGGCAACAAGGTATCGAACAAAATTAGTCCACCTCCACCACATCCATCCTCGCTTAAGAATAAAAATGTAGATACGTTGTCACACCTTAAAAGAATATCCGGTTCCTACACTCACCATACGAAACACAGCTGCATTACGCTGGTATTGTGTGAGACAATCATACAATAGCTGCATGTTATATTCTGATCTGGTACTGCGGTCGTCATTCTGTCTGCAGCTTTAATTCTCTACAACGGAAGAGGCCCAATTTAACGGGTCGAAGTGGGTGATATGAAATGGGTTTGAATATTTATTTTATGTTTTGCATGTGAGGTAGAAAATAAAGTTAATCTCTCATCAACTCCAGTATTTTATGAACGCGTCCCTAATCATGCATAAATAGCATAGAAATAATAGTATTTGGCTGTATATGTAATTAGGTAAACAATGAAAGTGAAGTTTAACAAAACTGAGGATAGTAACATGAAGAATAAAAGAAGCTTACTATCAGCAATAATATATTGTTAAAGAATTTTTCATATTTTTTTAGGGTGATGTAAATGCAAAATTAAGTTACTCGTATTTAAGTTGAAAATATTTAACGTATTATGATCTTTATGGCTATATTATGAACATACCTTATTGGGCATATGAAGATAAACTCCTTTCTTGAAAAGCATCATCGCACAGTCTGCGTGGCCATTCAACGACGCAATATGCATCAGAGTGCTGCCATCTTTTGTTCTTTCAAAGATCGACGCTTTAAATTTGTCAGCCAAAAGCTCAATGATTGCAGCATGACCATTTTCAGCGGCTAAGTGCAGCGGAGTACGATCTGTTTAAGAAATTTTATATATCAATAATGTATTTTGAAACAAGAAACTATGCTAGAAGCTGAGTACAGAGAGAAGAAATAGAGTCGACATTTGCCTTAACTGATAATATCTTTATTAATAAGAAAACTTAATTGTATTTTATATTATAATATAAAATACGATTAAGTTGATAAAATAAAGAACAATTTTATCTACAGAATATTGTGTATAAGATTTATTTACTTATTATAAAAATATAAGCACAAAAAAAACTGAAACTAAAAACTATCATACAGTCCTACTTCCCGCAGTATAGTAATAAGAACGTTGCTGTGTTTCCTCGCTGAATGGATATACGAAGCCTTTGAGTCAAAAAAAAACCAACACTCTTATCAGGCAAAAAGTCAAGAATACAGTTCCTTAAGGAAGCTTAGTGCACGTGGACCCCACGGACCGATAGTCTCTACAGCAAATCGCACAAATTACGGAGACTCGTACATGCGTCTATTACTGAACTGAGTTCAAATTAAATTAAAAATATCGCGTAAAGTATAAATAATGGTTGTCCTTCATTATTCCTTGTCCTTTATTGTTTTCTTTATTTGTTTTTATTCTAAGGTTAAGAATCAAGTTAAATCTTAAAATTGTTCTTCAAGTTTCGTACACAAAAATAATAAATGAAACTAACTTCATGATACACATTCATTCAATGGAAATTTTCTTAGTATAATTTACTTTAACTTTATTTTACTTTTATCTACAAACAATAACGCAACCGTCAAATTTCTACCAAGTTTTAATTTGCTTTAAATTCATTATTTTTTCTAAGTTTTTTTTTTCTAATTTACTCCTGGTTACTACCATTACAACGATTTGACGATAGAATAAAATAGAATAGAATATTTTTATTCAATAGAATAGAATAGAATAGAATAGAATAGAATATTTTTATTCAATATACATTACATGTGTAATTCTTATTGAAAGTCATTTTTTACTTTACCACTGGTTCACACAATATAGATCACATGTAATTGTTATTGAAAGTCATTTTGTTACTTTACCACTGGTTCGAGTAAAACCTCTGTCTTGGGAAGAACTAGCAAGAAGACCCGCGGGACTTTTTTTTAAAGTAAATTATACAATATAAAAGATTGTACAAACTATTTACAAAAACTATTTAAGAAAAAGATAATATTCGTCGTAAAAAGTAATTAAAGATACTTTTTAATATTTCTTCTTAAATGAAACTTTATAAGTTAACACTTTTTCATAATTTATAGCAAATTATTATAGTAAAAATTTTGTAAGAGCGACCCCACACGATGCGGTGTTACCCCGTGCGTGACGCATGTTGGCCTTGTAGTGGTTACGTACCGCCCAAATCAACACACCCAAGTTTTTGTTTATTATTCTAAGCTAGCGCTTAACTACAATCCCATCTGATGATAAGTGGTAATGTAGCCTAAGATGGTGAGGCGCACTGACTTAACAAAAGCCTATTCACTCTTGCCTTGAAGACATTGTGATTGGATAGAAATGTTAAACTATTGAAGCAAACCCTACTCTGACGGTGGTTAAATACCTCATCCGTACACTTAGTAAAACTCTGCATGGAAGCGCTGACGGTCAGAATTTTACTGCTCCTCATCATCAACATTATTCACTTCTTTTATATGAACCTAAATTCAATGAAGCTGTGAAAGCCCCCCCACATTACCTAAACCAGGGAGAGGCATGATCACGCATTGCGACGCCTCAATGACGAACAAACTTAATGCTTTTAGAGGCACATCTAGCGCTTTATTGCTTGCAACATGTTTTAAGTACCGCGGTCATTTTGTGTTGCGTTGGGACACCAAATTAGTGGAATGGCTCCCAATGCACCGAAATCATTGCGGTTGATTACGGCACTCCTCGCATGTTTCTTCATTTTTATAGTGTAGTGAGCGAAATTTTGTGTTAAAACTAGAAGCTTCAAGTTGGTTGTGATGTCCTTCTGGCAATAATCGGCATGTCACGATTTATAGATATAAGCTGCCGCAACGGCTTCGCTTAGCCATCGCACCGCTACTGCAACGTTCGCTCTAACCAGTATGCAATACAAGATTATATGATAAAAATTCAAGTAAGAATAAATGGGACCAATATGTTTGTGTGGGACTTATAACAAAATATTATGTGCTATCTGTGTTACTTGCCTATCATCAATACAATTTTATGAAGATAAACTTTGCTCTTCACAGCATGTTATTTGGAAGCATAGATTAAGAGATAATGAAAATTTACACTAATTCAACCCTCGGCTCGACGCGCGATCGACGCGCGCCGAGCGACGACGACCTGCCGTCTATAAGCCTATGAGCGAGGAGCGAGGTTTATTTTTACATTTGAAGGTTTCACTTATGCCGTGTATAAACTGCACACATGCTTTTTTATTATTTTGAGTTGTTATTAGGACTTTTTTATGGACTAAGGGTGACAAACGAGAAAGCATTCCACCTGATGGTAAGTGGCTGCTGTGGCCCATAGACATCTAACGCACGATCTATATTATAACTTCTCTGTTCTAACGCAGAATCTATTATAACTTCCGGGCAGCCGAAAAACTCCTCCAGTTTCCGAGTAATAATCATTGGATCCCTAGCGGTGAATAGCAGTGCCGGTACTGCTTCCCTAGCCTCACCACGTAGGCAGTTTGTTAATCTTGCCATATTTTCCGTATCAGTGAATTCACAACAACCTAGTACATTCTTTCATCGCGGCTTTAAAGGCTAACCATTCCATAGCTGAACCATTAAAAATAGGCAAGTCCTGTGTTTGCTGCGCGGCAGCTGGTCTGAATTGTACCATATTCTCTAATGCTTCCGCTCGTCGTTCGATACCCCTATCTTTCCCTCTCGGGGTGAGCGACCTACCTCTATCCCTATTTCTCTCTAGCGATACACGGCGACTCTTGTATGTGTTGCGATTATATGACGACCATGACCCGTGACGTACCTCGACGATACGGCGACGATAATCTAAGTCTATCGTTGATTAAAAATCAAAATGCAGATGCGTTGGCACCCTTGAGAATGAAGAAAGATGCCGCTACCCATCTCTTGTTTCAGTTTCCCTCTGTAACCTTTTACTTATCCACTCTTACTAGAAACATGAAATCAGTTATTTTTTTAATTTTAGTAATAAGCAGTAATTTCTTGACAACCACACCTTACCTTCGTTATCCGTAATAGCAGCATTCGCTCGTACTCCATAGAAGTATTTAACGAGCGGTTCATCACCCTCAGCGGCTGCTATATGTAAAGCGGTTTGGCCAGCCCCATTAACAGCGTCAACTGGTGCACCGTAGTCAACCAGAATACGCGCCATGTCCACATCGCGCCTCCTAGCTGCAAGGTGAAGTGCCGTATCGCCAGCGGGGGTTGCTGCCTGGACACATGAGCAGCACGACCAATAGTGGTATTCAAGGCGAATTATTATTTAATGTGTTTTATATCATATGGCTAAGTAATACGGTCTTTATTCCTGATACATCTGTTCAGTATTGAGGGAATAATTTTGAAATTTAATAATGATTATATCATCAACAATAAGAGTGCTAGTCTCAATAAATTTGTCATAGTTACTGTTTATCTTATATATTTTGTAATATTTATATCCAAAAAATATAGAAATGATTTAATTATAGCGAATGTGAAGTTTGCTGTGTGAAGGCGGCGTAAAAATCCATCACATAATTTCGTACTTTGATATCGTAAGAAGGGACTATAGGAAAAAGCAGAAGAATCTCATGGAATCCGATAAATGAAAATCAATACAATGAGAGAGTCAGTCAAAGTCATTTTTTACTTAAAATTGACGCTCTTTGAAAGTCAAGAAAGATACCTAGAGTATTGTTATCGCAGCAATTATAATTTACCTTATAAAATAAAAATATAACTAAGAAAAGTCTAAGGCTTCTTGTTTCCATGAATTCTTATCTTTTAAATAATCATTTAATTTATAATATCCTTTCTTCGCCTTGAACTTATGCAAAGGAAAATTACAGGGTAGCTTGTGGAAAATAGTTATATATCAAGACAAAAATAAGCTGCAACTTTTATAAAGTCTATACTTTAGGACAGTAAGTTTAGATTTATTGCGCGTGATAAAATTATGGATATCACTAATTTTGTCAAAGGTATAAAAATAGTATTTTACGTAAATTATATTTTTCAAAATAAATTCTGAAGCAACACTTAACATTAATTTCTTTAAAAAGATCACTGGGTCCCGTGGAATAATATTGTAAATAACACGAATAGTAAGCCCTTTTCTGTAATAATATAAATATTTTTCCAATATTAGTTGCCGATCCCCAAAGTAATAATTCATAGATCATAACACTGTAATAATAGTTAAAATAAGCCAATATTGCTAGGTCTTCATAATTTAGCAACATAGTTTTACAGGACAGTTCATTAATGGACGTTAAAGGCTGGCAAAGAAGTTGTATTTGAAACTTCTGCATTTTAATTCTTAATCGATAGATGTAGATGTATATGGGTCACAGCTTCGACTTAACATCAGGTGGACGGTGTGCTCGTTTGTCACCACTATTTTATAAAAAAAAATAGGTAGAAGGGCATCTACCCAGAGCCAGACGGATTCTTAGGCAGAACTGCCACCTAATGTAGTTATACTGGCTTACTTTTCAGACCGAAACAGCAGTACAAGCACTGCTACTTGGCGACAGAAATATCCAGACTGACTCCTAGACAAAAAGGGTTCACCACCTTGGGTATATTTTATTATTTGAAAAACTTATTATTCTTAAACAATTCGAAAAACTGAAGTTAACGAATGAAATTAGACAATACCTTTAGTTGTTCAGCCGTTTGCGCACTAAGAAGCTCTCGGACCATGCTCTGGTTGCCGGCCTCCACAGCAAGCAGCAGCGGGATCTTGCCCCTCTGGAACACCATGTCGCGGATTAACTTTTTCCATTCCTTTTGTCGCGCGCGTTCCTTATTCAACTCGATAAAACTGAGCTCAAGCTTCTGAAGGTCCCTAGGCGGAAGATTCGCAGGTGGGCTGCGACTACCTGACCGCAAGCTCAAATTCGCACTTCTAGGGCTATCCCTCCTATTCTCATTCATGGCTCATATGCAACTGATCGCTTTGGCCCTGATTTAGACCCGCACTGATTTGATTCGATGCAGTGTCTATGCAACTAACTACTCACGCCATTTGCGGCATACCACTGCACGGAGCTTCAAAACTGTGACACAAAACAATAGTTTTCAACTTATGCGAACCGCAATCTTCGCAGGTGGTTCGATAGAATACAAATAAACTTTTGAATAATGCGATCACCGCATGCAATTTTCTAATAATTTCGATCAGCCATTAAGGAGTTGTATACGTACTTGATCCTCCATAGAGACTAGACTATTAAAACAAAGGTAGCGCGTGCGAACATTGCAAAGCTGCCTTGCTCTAGTCGTGCCAAAGGACTGACTGAAACGGATTCTATTAAAATTACTAATTTTGAATTTCAGCGTCGACGTTATAACTAATATTCAACGACTGATTTGCATTGTAAATTTCAAGTCGTGACGTTTACAAGGCGGTTAAAGCTCGGCGGATAATTAGCTAGTTTCTATTCGCGTGGGGTATACCCGCGGTGCCGGAATGTCCTTATAATATCAACCTTGCGGCCGTTTTCTGAAGGTAACACACCTTTTTAATTTTTGCGTGAGACAAAGCGTACGCATAGACCAACTCTATTCAGAACTTTTGTTTGGTAATTTTTTCACGAGCTGCCCATAAAACCAAGTATGTTTACTAGCGATTTCGTTGTAATTCCTGAATCAGTGGAGGATGGCAGTGCCAGGCGACGACTGGCTACACGCGATCGCTGTGACCAATGTTGCATCCCGCCTATTCACTATATCTATTCTCTAATACGGTTCGATTAGATTTAATGGACGTAGTAATAATAAAATAGTAAACTTTATAATTTAATACCTTTGCTGTCATCTAATTTAAACAAAGGGAACAATGTTACCTTGCTTGTTGGATACGAAGTAGTGTGAAATTATTTTATTTCACTTTGTCAAAAACATTTTTATAAACATATATAAAATAAGTTATTTGATAAGAATGAATAAACAATTAACTAAATATTGAAAAAAATCCTCTTTTTCGCACTTTTAAACCATTATACGGTTCTGTAATTTCACTCAAGGAAGTTCTATTTTACATAGCTCTTTGCTTCGTGACGCGTAGTACAAACCCTTGACATGAATTTATTAAGCAGACCATGCGACGTAATTAATAACAATATTCATGTTAAGAGAAAATAAATAAATGGAGAAAAGTAACTTGTTCTATTTTCAAACAAAACATTTGCCTCATTCTAATTGGACAAAGAAGAGTGAAAGAAGCAATTACTACAAATGATTGTGTGTTTTTCTTATAACCTATAACGTCATTCATTTTTCAATTTTTCACACAGTTTAATGAAATATTTATTACTTATTAAATATTTCTGTAGTACCTAGGCAACCAAACATTATTCGGCGTTAGGAAAAAAAATCTCAACCTAACTAAATAGTCTAATAATATCTAAAACAAAAAAAATCTAAATATGTTCAATAGTTATTGTCTATTGTCCTCCCATATTGGACATTTTTGAAACTGTGGGGTTGCTCAAGCGCGCTAAATATGCGACCAGACTAATAATATTTTTGCATGGCGTTTCACGCACTCGACCGACAGTTGCGCTGCCACGGCTGCGTGGAAGCCGTGGCAGCGCAACAGGAACATATTATTAGACACTAACATCTTGACTAACCCTCCCAACTAATGGTCCCAAGCCCAAGCCCAAATGGAGAATAATTATGGTATTAATGAGAAGTAACCGACTCCAAGTGCTCGGCGGACCCGGTATCAGCAATGGTCATGACGGAAGCCAGCCTGAGACTGGGCCTAGGGGTGCGAGGAATCCTCTAGCGGCGATAGCAACCCGTCAAACGACCCAAGTGACACATATGGACTCCGACATGCTAAGCGACATAATCTCATTCAACTCACTTTTTCACAGAATCCCTCACTTTTTCATTCATTTGTGTCACCTATTTCATCTCCATGTTCATACCAATCATCAAACTTTATATCACTTATGTCTGAGGACGTTGTGCAAGGGGCTGTCGCCACTGAAGCTGCACCCGCCCCAGACAGAAATCGTGCGCGAAAAAGATGAACAGAAGAAATCAATAAATTCATCTGGCGCACATACCTCATAACCACTAAATTAAATACCTGCAAAATATACCTCAATCACCTACATAAAAAAATCTCTAATAAGTATCCGCAGATGCAGGCATTAAGACAAAGATTGGGAGATCAATGTAGAGCTATACTTAGAAATAAATTACTTCCCCAAAAAATATTAGATTAGATAAAGAATGCATTTGCAGTATACCTACAACAAGCACACAGTAATGCCAATCATAGACAAACTGACTCGATCACGCATCACATATGCAACCACATTTTAGCAACCAGCAAGGCTTAACACAAAGAAGAAGATGGACAGCTGACCAAAACGAATCTATTGTAAGAAATTACTACAAATAGGGTTGTTATAATGGATTTCCGCAAAGTAACGCCTGATTCTATTAATTAAATTACTACAAAATCACCGAACTTGGAGAAAAAATATTTCAGCTTTTAGTCGACCCCCTCTATCAAGCAGTCATAGAAGAACACCCCGAGTCAACAGGTGTAAATGAACAGAGAATATCAGATCAGCCCGGAATGATATTGAACAACAAAATGATTAATGACCAAAGACTTCAAGAGATACATGACAATATATCAACCTGAATTCCCGACGAGACAATTTAGAAAATAATTCATGACTTATCACATTACAACACACGACCCTTACACCCAAAACAGAAAGCTAAACACGAAGCTGACATTCGTCCATGCATTATAGAAAGTAACACTCCCGTGCATTCACTTAGCTTAACCTTACAATCTCAAACTGATGAAACAGTGGTACTTTCTCAAGCCTTTGAATCACAACAAAACCAAGCAATAGAAAACAACGACGCGGAATAAATCCAGGAACTGCTTAAAATAATTTCTACGTGATAGAGCCATGCTGCAGCTATATTATGGATGTAGCACGAATGGGTTGACTCGAACGGGGAAGGACCACGCTCTCACAGAAAACCAGCGTAAAATAGCAGCTTAACGCTGCTGTGTTTGAGAGTGAGTGTAGAGAACCGGAGACCCTTTTTACTGGCAAAGAGGCATTCCATATTAGTCCTCACCGGTGACAAAGCATCTGCATCTTGAGTCTTTATTGAGGATAGATGTAGATGTCTATGGGTCACAGTAACCACTTACTATCAGGTGGACTGTGTGCTCGTTTGTCACCCGATCCTATAAAAAAAAATAGCAATAGACAAATTTCGGAACACCAATCCAACTAAACGACCTTATATACCAAAACAAAAAAACTTCTAAAAGGCTAGCTCAAATTGTAGATTTTATAAACACTGAAATATTACCAATTCACAAATCGAGAGAGCAGCATTTTGAGACCACTCAGACCATAGTTTACTGCGCGGCATACACAGCAGCTATAAGTAGCAAAACCAAAATCGGAGACACAAACACACTGCCTACCCAAAATTGAAGTAAAGAACCTGCCTGGTAGAAAAGGTTGCAAAAAAGATACAGGATTTCAGAAGAAACATTGGAAGACTAATAGAATATACCAAAGGCAATAGAAGCAATAGACTCATCACTTTAGTAGAAACAATAAAAAATAAATAGTGAATACATTCGCAGGACGAAGAACCAAATTTAAGCGATGAACAATTCCTTGACACACTTAAACAAAAACTGAATGCGGCATTTAGTAAATTAAAAAGTCGGTACTTCTCCGCTGCCTGGAGAGACTATAGAAAGGCATTCGACTTAGTGCCCCATACATGGCTGAAGAGGGTCCTCGAGCTGTACAAGGTTGACTGTATAGTTAGAGACTTCCTCGGGCAGTGTATGAAGCAGTGTAGTACGATCCCTTGTCATCTAGGCGAGCGGATGACGGATGCGGAAAGCTACATAACAATAAGAAGGGATATCTTCCAGGGCGATTGTTTGTGTCCTTTCCGGTTTTGCCTTCCCCTCAGTACAAAAGTGACCCACCTTTTTATATGTATGATCTCAAATTATTCGCCTCCAGTCGTTCCCATCTTATGGAATTGCTAAACATCACTTGCGATTTTAGTAATTTTATTAGAATGGAACTGGGGACGGATAAGTGTGCGGTCCTCCGTTTTGAAAGGGGAAGGGTTGCTAACTCTGAGGGCAAAGACTTATCTATGCTCATCAACATAAGGACCCTTTCCGAGGCTGAAACCCTGCCGAGGACTTCCATCTGGTTGTGTTTTGATTTATTTATTATGTTTATCATTTTCATTTACAATTATATAAATATTTATGCAGCCCAAACACGTGAGAAAACTTTACAGATACCCTATAATAATAATAACTATCGAAAGTGCTCAACAATCTTTTCTCGGGCGTGAATGAGATACACGCATATTGGGTTGGGTCATGCCTGTCCTCATATATACTTTTATACTCATACATATATACATACTCAGGCATACTCAGGTGGACTCAGACCAAACTGAACGCTCTGGATAGAAAAGTACGCACTGTTATGACGTCCCACAGTATGCATCACACGAGATCATCGGTAATGAGGCTGTACTTACCGCGGAAACACGGTGGGCGCAGCTCCCTCCATTTCATTAACCTACCTTTAAGTAAACTGAGGGTGTTGTATATGCGATACAGGATCAGGTTATTAAGAACATCAATTATCTGAAATTCATCCTAAAGGATGGCGCCGTCGACATCTGTCGACTTGTTGCCATCCCGGTGA